CGGTTTAGATGGCTACGTGTCTTAGTGGTGTGAGAACCCTAAGGGTCCAAGTACCTAATAATCATATACTTACCCAAAACCTGTACTATAATTACTATTACCCAAATCCCAAGTACCTAATTATTGCGTACTTGGACCCTCTGGGAACTATAAAAAAAATCGTAAGCTTGGCCTCGAAATACCAGCATCCTTCAGCTCCATCTCTAGGGAGGAGCCTGATGCTTTGCATGTAAGGGTTTAGGGTTAGGGTTTAAGGGGTTTAAGGTTTAGGGTCTTAGGGTTGACTTTAGGGTTTTAGTGGTTTAGGCTTAGGGTTTAGAGTCTTACGGTTTAGGGATTAGGGTTAGGAGTTGAGGGTTCGAGTTGTAAGCTTAACCAATCCTGCTACTGCTAAATACTCCGCCAAGGGGAACCACACCATGGAAGATGACATGTACAAGAGGAAACAATGGACCATGGGAATCATGATGGCGAGGGCGTTATATCAACTGCTTCAAATGCTTCGTAGGGGACGAGGGAACGGATCCAAACAGTAGTCATAAGCTTGTCTCCCGTACCTCTATTCTCTCCTTCACCCTGACTGAGAGGCGCAGGATGAATGGCATCTGGCAGTTTCCACAAATAGGACGACCCAATATAGATCCCAATAGATTATAACAACTATTTTGGGATCCCCAGAAAAGGGATCCGGAGTATTATCTCTTATCGTCACTATTACAAAGAGGCAAAAAACATTGCCTTTGTGGCCTTTTTAGAGGGTCTGATCCCCATTGGGGTAAAATTGGGATTATATTGAGATAATGGAAAATAAAATGGAAACTACTATAATTATGGGTCACTGTTATATTAGCATTATATGGGGCGGTCTAGGTAGGGTTTGAGGTGCCTGGAACTATTTGACAATTCTCGAACTCGCGCTCCAGGATGTCTGTGGGCGCAAACTCTGGATTCTGACCTGGCAGTCGCTTACGGCGCACAGCCTTTTGCGATTGTGACTGCCAAGTTTGCCCAGAGTTACTAAGGAAGTGTAAGATGCTACTGCGACTGCCATGAAGGGATCTCCGAAACAACATGATCTTACTCTCTCATGTACATGCTGAACAATACTTTAGTAGTAGCATCTCGTTATCACCGCCTATCTAGTTGTTCTGAAAAAAAACGCCAGGGCCCCCTAAGCCAACTAGTTCGGCCCCTACGTGGTTTGAGGGGTCCCTTTGTGGGGCCGCTGCAATGAGGATAACAGCATTTGTGGATATAGAAGGTGCACCCTTGTCTTGAGAACTCCCATATCGTACTATCACAGGGAGCTAAGACTGTGTGGGCCTAATTGGAAACCACTTGTGAACTCCTGTTGTTAGCTTGAGGTACGTTTAAGAAGTGTACAGCATACCTGTGCGTTATGCCACCCTGCAGTTCCCACATACACAACTATCTGAACATTGCAGTAACATTGCGTCACTCTCTGTAAAACGCAGTTTAGATCGGCACATACGTCTATGCGTATGGAAAAGAATCGTGGCTTGAACTCTGACACGACACAGGCTGGAGCCTATCCAGTGTACCTCGTGTCAGGCTTCTTTAACACTCACTTGGGCATAGCCTCACGTCAAGGATTGAGGGCAATTACATCTTACTGTCCTTGTGGGTGAGTACATGCATGTCCACTGTGGCCCTGCCTAAGCAACCTGATTTCACAGCCTTCGATCAGAGGATCTCAACTATAAGGCCTCCAACCTCCCATCCGCCAACCTGGATCCGTCCCCTTCCCAAGTCTCCAAGTCAAAGTAGCAGCCATCTTAGCCTGGCAAGCCACTCCCAAATCTCTAGTCTCCTATGACCCCGCAGCCTTTGCTGTCCTTCTTTGGCAGCTTCTTGTTTCTCCATTTCAAGCACTTCCCCTCGTGGCTCCACACCTGAGTCGCGAATCTGTGGGCGCTGCGCATATATGTTGGACACCAACGCCAAACTGAGGCACTTTTGAATCCTCAGGCGCCTGCGGCTCAGCAATCCAGGACGTATGGTCTTAACCAGCGATTTTCTACACCATACACGGAATTCGCAGTTGCTAAACCCCTTGACACGGACTCGGTATGGCATATGAGCAAAGGCATCACGGCTGGAAGTATGGGCTGAAGTGGCCGCTTCCAGTGTTGACATAGCTTGCAAGCCTTGAGGTCTTGATTTGCCTAGATGAGCCCTGCCGCAAGCCACACAGTAACTTCCAAGCCCTCAACGTCGAAAATCATCAGGCTTGGATCCACAGGTTTAATTGTTACAGCATCTGTGTAAGCTACCATCAATACTTTCCCAAATAAGTAATGGACATGGGTTCTGGCAGGGAATAAATATGAGGACCATAATCCACCAAAGATATCCCCCGATGTCCACCCTTAACGGTCTATTGGTAAGCCTCATAATGACCATAACAGCCCAACCCTAAACTCTTAACCCTGAACCCTCAATAATACTCAGTAGTTACGGTTTGCTTTGCCATACCCCTATGCTAAAAAACCCTAAACCATGTGTATGTGTATATATTTTTATACAGACTGAGCTAGAAGAGCCAAGGCAACCTTGCGCGAACTCTACTACCTCAGTTCCCCGGCCTGCACTTGTTTTCAAATCCCCAACTCGCCGCTCCTAGGACCTCCTCGTAATCTTGGTTTAGGCTTCAGGGTTTAGGGTCTAGGGTTTAGGGTATATACATATCCCTAGGATCCTCAGGGTCCTCCTCTCTTCTGCTATCGATTTCCCGGGGCCCTTGCCAGCATCCCGGCAAGAGGCGACAAATGCGACGCTATTCCTCGAGCAAAGTTATGCGAGGATTCGAATTTGGCAATAATATCAGGAATTAATCTGGCTTCAACTACATATTATGCATTTGCTCAACTGCTGCTAGATTTCATGGATGTCCCGCAACAAAAGTGGCATTCTGGGCACAGGCGGATGGGGGAGGGAGGAGAGTGGGTATCTGCATTGACTCTACATGTCTGCACATCCGTGCATATACCAGGATTCAGGATTCCAGATGTTGTCATGCAAGTGCTCTATACAAGCTTCATACTGGCTCTTTCCTTCTGGTGCAGCATCTCTTCAGAGGCTAGGTCTTAAGTCATATGGGTACAGAGCGCTCGTAAACGAACAGGGTCAAGCATTGTCATCTCAGGGGTCGGCATTTTCAGATTATCACGGGATATCCGCCCCGCTTCCCTTTAAGCACCATGTAAGAGAAGGCTAGGGCCAAATCTGCGGCACTCTTGTCTAGAGTCTCCAGAAACGGCCTCACGCTTAGAAACTCTCCCCCCCATATTTCCTTACGTACTCAGCATGGTCAACATCCTTATTGGAGTTTCCCAAGATGATCCATATAATATATATATATAATATACAGTTGTGTGTGTATGAATATAAGCTGTACTGTACATGTCTTTATAAACCCTAAACTCGCGAAATCCTCCAAACCCTAAACTCTCCACTAACCTTCAAATCCTACAACCCTACGATTGCTGTAGTTTGTTTTAACCGAGAGGCTGCCCGAGCTACTCCCGTGATGGAGATCCTGCGGGATGGGGGCCGGCTTCCAAAAGTTGAGGTGGCCCCCTGAGCTTCCAAGAACAGGGCGGTGTTCCTTTCTTGAGCCACCAGCATTTCCGCACTGAGGTTTGACCCAGTTTTTGAACCATGTAGTCTAAGGCCCCATTGAGCCTTATCAGAACGGAGCGGGGCAATGAAGCTTCAATTACCTCCCGCTGACAGCAATACACGCGTTATCCGCATCGCGACGATTATGCTTTTCTCGTGGGATGCATACATCCACGTGAAACATCGCTGTCACTTTCACTGCTAACATCCCATGGCAGTGTTACTGCTATCAGAATGGGTATCTGCAAGTTGTTTTTTTTGTTTTGTGTGAACCTTGTTGTGATAAGAGTAGCTCCGCAGCCCCGTCCTCACCGTAAGGAGCAGCCAATGTTCGGGAAAACTCGTCTAAAAGCGGCGGATAATCGATGGCCTGCACGAAAGAGCAGGAGATTTAGGCATTAAACTTTAGGTAGCGATCTCGCGTTCATTAGGGTCCAAGCTTCTCGGGCTCAGGGGCATATAAACGATTAGCATGACGTGCACTTACTCAGAGAGCCACCAAACCTGCTAATGCGAGAATGCTCTGGAACTGAGTCTTGGCAGCTATGCGGTTTAGGGCTTAGGGCCCAGGATGCTAAGCCCTACCAGGGCCCTACCCATGTGGATGATGCGCTTCCTGTCCCTGTTGATACTTCTTACTCTGAACCACGAGCCCTGAACTGTAAGGTTCATAGCAATCCAAAACCCAAACCCTAATTCCACGTCCAAAGGCCAAGGGGTAGAAGTTCTAAGCACCCTAAGTTGGGTCACGGCCAATACTTACTCTACGTGCAACACGGATTACCTACAACTGTGCATGAGCTTTCGAGTTGAAATTAAATTGGCCCCTGTCGCTGACGCCCCTTAATGAGTGACCATATTACGCATAGTTCTTAGCGAATTTAAGCATGAGGATAGGATATGGGGGTTTTTGACTTAAGCCTTGCCCCCCACGACCCCACATATGCCCCGAGTGTCCGTAATCCCATCCCTTTTCAAGAAATACGGATACCAGCATCCTCCCAATTCTCTGTGCCAAGCTATTCAAGAGTCTTGAAGCCCGAAATGGAGAGTTCCATTTTGGGGTACCCTACGTATTCGAGACAATATGAGAATGGGAACCTAACGAGGACCGTAATTTCGACAACTCCCCACATGGAGTCCCCAACAAGCGGCCATAGCTTGCGTCCTTGATGTGCAAAGATTGCAACTACTTGTTCCTCATTGGTCAACAGAAGTATGTCCTCCTTACTGGGCTGTGATATAATAAGACAATAAACAGATGCATATATGATATATGATATGTGGTATATGACATATGATACATGATATATGATATTAGTGTATATCTATATTATAAATATATACAATAATGACCCAGAACACATCCCTGGCCTTGGCGGGATGAGATTTGACAAAGAGGTCCACACTAGACTTTGTCTCCAGACCTGCTGCTGCCCGAGTCATGAGATAGTCTCTCAAAACAATCCATGTAAAGACCTTTAAAGGGACCAAATTGTTATAGAATAACCCACGTAAAGACCTTCGACGGATCCTCTAAACCTCCGTGAGAGTCGTCCCTATATCTATGTGTCTATAGCTAGTACCTACACTCATCTTGAGAAATCACCTTAAACAAGTTCTGCTCAGAAAGGTGCACTGAAGGTAAGCCTTAAGCTGTAAGGAGTCCCGGTCGTCTCCCACGCTACCAAGCTTTTGACAGAGGCCTGCCTCTGCGTTCCAGGAAGCTACGCGTTCGGAACCCATAGAGGAGAGTGCCCTATAGACTTAAACGCTACATCAAATGAGCTATAGTCTAAACTCCAAGCATTCCCCTTAATAACCGCTACAATAATCCCCTATATGATATAATCCCTATGTCTAAGCCCCTTTTCAGGAGTTTAGACTCTAGCTCAAATGAGGAGTACGACCGCACTAGGCCTCTGGGTGGAAGGCTAAGATCAAAGAAAGGCAAGCTTCCATAAACCCTGAATTTCACCCTCAAAGATTCTTTATAATTAAAGGCATCCGTGCCAGAACTGGAAAAGGGGAGGCCTTTTGTTTTTTGGTAGCTTTCGCCGCCCCCAACATGCAAGGTTGCAAAAGCCAGGAGGACCTCCCATGATCCCCAACACCTCAGGCCCTGGAGCCCTTGTAATTTCCATACCCCCAACTCTAACGCCTGTGAATCCTCTGCAACTACCTCACAAGGAAGGCTTTCGAATATTCTGGGCCCCTTCTAGCGATCCCCCATAAGGAAGAGCTACCGTAGCCGCCAAGATGCAATCCTGACAAGGAAGTTTATCTCTATATTGCTCCTCAGGATCCCCTCATGACTCCCATATACATGTATATCTATCTATGTATCTATTTTTGTATATCTCTTGTATACAATTCCCCGACGACCCTTCACTTTGATTGAAAGACGTATCTGCCAAGCTGCTTGGGGAGATCCGATTGCCCGGACTGAGGCCCTCAGGGCAAGCTGGGTGGGGTGCAGTGAGTGTAGATATGCGTGGTGTCCCAAAATACGGGTATCCTTGTGGGATTTCTGCATAACAAGGACTATAGTATTTGGGGGCGGTCTATATGAGGGTCCCCCTAGTTTGGGAAACCACCATTTAGGGTTGAGGGCTGTGGGGACAGAGCCTTGGATTTACGCTTAAGGCTTGGGTTTTACTTACTGGTGGTTAGGAATAAGGGAATATAGTCTCTACATAATCCATACACAATAAAATATTGCCTTACTCCGTACTAACCCTAAAACCTGCATTACGCATATGTTCCCATATGTTCCCTTATTCCTACTAGCCCGCCCTATGTTTGGAGGAAGGCAGGAGAGCGGCAGGCCGAGAGGGGAAAGGGAGGGAGGCTTCAGGCCGTATTAAACCCTACCTGGACGATGGATGTCCTTCCTTTAGTGGGTTCTGTCCTGCATGTTGATAGGGTATATCCCCAAAAACACTAGGACATCCAGGGTCCACGTATACCCTAATGAGATCTTAAAGCCCAAACACCTCACACATTACAGCCCTAAAGCCAACAAATACACACAACTTACTCTCCTACGCGGATGTGCGGAAACATGCGTGTACTGCGTACGTACGTACGTATGTATGTAAGTATGTATGTATGTGTATATATACACACATATACATACATATGCAGTGAGGAAAACAAAGGTAGGTAGGGAGACAGAAAGAAAGACACACAAAGAGGCACACAGGCACACGCTCGTTTCCCGACAACCTTTCGAAGAAGACCCTGAGTCATAAACCCTCAAGCGCGAAGAGCCCTCAAAAAGACCGCGTCCATTGGGCCTGCGGTCTCCTCGGAGACTGTGTGGGCCCAGCAACGGAGCGGCCTAGAGGTGGGTCGGGGGTTTAGGGATTCAGGGTTTAGGGTTTGAGGCTTCTTGGGGATTCAGAGATTCATTGCTTCTTTTTTGGGCTTTGAAGCTCTGGGCTTTTGAAGCGTCAGTGGACCCTGCATTTGGGAATTCAATGAGGAGTATGTCTGGGATGTACACTGGCGTAAGGCCCTACACAGTGATATGATAGGCTAGATACTCGAGTTCTACCCATCAAAGACAAGAACCTCAAGATGGGTTTATAGTCCCCCTTAAGTAGATAGAATATGGCTTTGGGTAAATTATAATAAGATCCCCATATACCCCATATTCTATCTACTCAAGGGGGACTATAGGGTTTAGGGGGTCCGTTTACAAGGTGGAAGTGTGGGACGAACTGAAATGGGATACCTGGTGGTAGATAACGAGGGGTGTTTCCAGAAGCTTCCCCTCAAACCAATTTGGGCCCCTTGTTTTTGGAAATGCGATTTTTGTACTGAGAGCAAAATTGCCCCTACATGTCCTCCCTTCTGCCCCTAAACCCCGAAGCCTAAAACCGTCAGTTTAGGGAAGGAAAGGTCTAGGAATTTGGACTGAGTAGGGAGTCTTCTGGCGGTTGATTATGATATGACCCTGTCTTGTGAACCTACTATAGTCCTATTATACCACTATTGCAGGGTGGGGGGGGTCCTCCTAAACAGTACCCCTTAAACCCCAACGCCTACAAAGTGACCAAGAGAGCCCTCCCGCCTGACTTCATCACGTCCTCCGACGTATAAAGACTGTCGTCCTGATGCACGTCAATGAATATAGTCCCCCTTTAGTAGATAGAATGTGGCTTTGTGTATGTTATACTAACATGCCCATATCCCCCATATTCTATCTACTTAAGCGCGCGATAAGCTTCCCTGTCGTATCAGTGCCTTCTTAACTTTCCTACTGCCTGCGCAAGAAGGACGCAACCTACAACATAATCATGTCTGTTCATCATCCACTTCTGGGCACGTACACAGCGATGCAAGACTTTGGAGATGGTTGGCTCCTCTTAAGATCTTCTCAGAATTCATGTCCGCATGCATGCCCTCCACACGGCGCACATTTCTTGCAGTTTAGTTGTGGTATTCCTTTCAGGAATAGATTCGGTACAAGGCGCCGCGACCAGCCTGGATAGCCGGTAGGTTCTCATGCGAGTCCCTTGCTCTGAGGGTCCTTACATATGAGAAGCTATTGCTGCGTCTGCTCATGACTTGGCCATTTCTGAAAACAACAAAGGGCCCTCACCTACGAGAGAACTTCATCTTGAAAGCAGGCTTACCCGCCCCCTTGATCACCACTCTGGTCTAGGACGATAGCTATGGTTCAGGCTATGCCATGGGAAACTGCCATACTCGACATGCCCAACAGGCTTGCAAACATGGTTATTCAAAGTACAACCGACCAACAAGTGACAGCCTACAGTTCTGTAACCTGAGTCTAACAACAATGAGGAGCCTGTATCTCTGGCTTGTGCGCGGACCCGCGGACCCTGCTTGGAGGGTCATGGGTAGTTATGAGCTGGATTTGGAATTTAGGGTTGAGGGTTGCGCATGCTCCAAACTTGGGCATGACGTATTGCTACTGTAGCTACCCTTTCTATATCCCAGTTGTAGCTAGGCCTTTCAACTATAGTTTATGGCTGAAGGCGAATCTGGAGGCTTATATCCCTCTTTGGTTATCTACACGGGTTGGCCTTCTCGGGGAACTATGAAGAAGCACAAGAGTATTCTACTGGGCTTCAAACTGTGATGGCTTTAAGAAAACCACAGCCACTCACTCCATTTGGAATAACCTGAAGTTTAACCCAAATCCCAGAGCCGGAGCCAACAAACAAGCTGGCTCACTAGTTAGTAGCCGCGTCCTCAGCCCGTATGGTGATGGCGATTCCAGGCACCATGGGCGGGCCTGGTTCTGGGAATATCAGAGAGATCAGGGTTGAGAGGGGGGCGGGCGTCTCTAATTATGTAGGTATTGAAGAAGATAAAGGTTTCCCGACGTATACTAGTCGCTTTCTTGGAAGTCGCGCCAACATGAGAGACCAAGCTTTGAGGACCCGGTTTGGGAACGCTCTTGCCGATGATGCGTAAAGTCTTGCCAGAGGCCTACATCCTGACTGACAATCCTGCGGAAAGGTGATTCTGTGGAAATGCCCGCTTCATTGCTTTCCCTTCAGGGAAATTACTCTGCTAAACAACACACCGAAAACTACAAAGGTGCAAAATCAAACGAAATGCCGGGACGCCCAGAGCACTATCCCCACATCCCTCACAGTTCTAAGATTCCAATCTGCCACAGTGCCCTGTACAATACCTGAAACGGACCGGACAATGATCTACATATCGCTAGGGTCCATGCCTTCAGTGGTAGAGCCGCCGGGCAGAGGGTCCACTTTGCCTGCATCAGCTAGAACAACAGGAAGGAAACAGGCAATCATTGAAGTTACCCATGTTTACAGCAGTAGTAGGTACTAGTGACTTCCGTATTAGTTTGATACGAGATGGAACACCCCAAACGCGAAATCCCAGAACATTCATGTCTTGCAGGAAGTTTGAACGACATCGTTTCCCAAAACAGGGGACCCAATATAGCCACCAAAACACCTTATTACAGGGACCCCCGAAAAGCTACCCTAATTCTGGGAAACCCCCACAAAGTTTCCTAGAACAAGAGCAACTATGCACCCCAAACAGTTGAAATTCCCTGGACCTAAAGCTTGTCCCTCCGCCATCAAAGCCAAAGCCGAGTCCACTACACCCAAAAGCTCACCTAGGGGTTATGAGGGAATAAGGGAAAGTATCATAGAAGCACCCCTATTCCCTGCTAACCACCGGGAAGCAATGGGCTCTGCTACGAAGCTAAATCCTCAACCCTGGGCAACCATCACCAGTTTGGCGCAGTACCCAAGGCCACATCTCAAGGTTGAGGGTTTAGTGTTTAGGGTTTCGGGTTGAGGGTTTAGGGTTGAGGACTTCAGGGTTTCGGCTCTAGGGTATTCCTTGAGGCAACCTAGACCCACAGGGTCGTCGTAGGCTTCTTCCAAGCTAGGAGCCTTGCATGTGCCAAGCAGCCCTCAGCCAAAAAGAAAGGCATCCTGTCTGAAGTCCATTGCATTCCAGGCCCCAAACTTCTGAACCCTAACGCATAAATATCAACCCTAATGCCTGAAACCCTAAACCTGAAACCCTCAGACCCTTGACCCCAAAACTCTTTACCTACCTGCAGCCCCAAAGCCCGTGAGGCCCTGACGGCCCCTGCGCTGCATCAGCGACTTCACTGTCTTGCCCGGCTCCGTGGAGGGGGCCAACTGGATGAGAGTGTAGTGACCCATAAAACCCAAAGATCCTTTAAATCTGGTCATACTTTAAAAGATTTTAGGGGTGATCGTATCATGTAAGCTATATTCCCTAATTAAGGGAGACTGGGCTTTTCCTGGGGATGCTGAACATTTTTTTTGTACATGGCTTGTTTTTGAAGATTTTGAAGGATCTCGCAGGTTTCGGGTTCTGTAGACGTACAGAAAAGCGGCTGTAGATTCAGGACTTCGGGGCTTAGGTTCAGGAGTCTCTGGAGCCCTTCAGGGGGTTTGGTGTGAAGGGTTTAGGGCTTGAAGTTTCCGTGAGAAAAGGAAAGGCTCTTGTCTTGAGAGAGTTTGTCTTGATGCATTTAGGTCCACCCATGAAATCATTAACGGCCTAGAAAATGGATAACACTCAGGGCCGTATATGTATGTATTCATATTACATATAGTATTCAGCTGTTACTGGCCGCGGGCAGTAGCGTACGTTTAGGTGCTTCATGGTGCTTCTTAACCGGGTACCCGATGTACCCACGCAAGCCCACAATACGAGGACATACTTTGAGAAGCACTTATCTAGGCAAAAGCAGTTGGGCGTTCAGGGCTTCGAGATTGGAGCTTCAAGGCTTTCGCGGAATGACTCTCGGTCTCTTCTTGAGTATGTTTACCCTAAACATACCCTAAAACCCCTAAAAGAGTTGGAGCCCGTAAACAGTTGCGGAGAGGACAGGCCTTCATCGTCCCCACAAAATGATGCCTAAGTCTACTGTCTGGGCTACAGCCAGATACCGGTTCCTTATTGGGGATGCTATCTGAAATATCAGGCTTTGTGGTCAAACAAGAACTAGATATCACATTCAGTTATGATCCTCGCAGACCCTGGGCGCAAGACTAAGTTTTGTTCACCAGACTCATTGCCCAAGCGCCCCCAAGCCCTGCGGTCCGAAAACCCTTTGCAAGAAGGACGTTGAAACACTCGACAGGGCTGAACCCCTCACCCTAAACCCTAAATGGCCCTAAACTGGACCCTTTTCCTTATTCAAGCCAAGGAAACTACCTACCAACCCTAAGCCCTAAGGACTAAAGAATGGCCAGGCTAGGTGGAGCCAAACCCGGGCACCCAATACATTGGATTTAGGGTTCAGGGCTTAGCGATGGAGTAACGAGCTTTAGATTGCCATTGCAGCGCCTTTTTTTGCCTCGAAAGTTAGGGTAGTGGCGCACGGCCAGCGGCGGCCAGCAATGTTAGCGCCAGAGCACGCGATGCACCATCTTGCAACATGCAAGGCCAATGACTAGGAAAAGCAGTGACAATCACTATCGCAGTTGGCGGCAACTCTGTCTGCATAAATCTTCTTGGTTGTCGGTAGGGCATGAAGGAATGGATTCCTATAGCCATCCCCAATGACATGGAAAAGCTTCCATGTTCTTTTTTATGCCCTCATTCCTCAACCCTATATCCCTTAATCCTAAACCCTCAACCCTAAACCCTGCACCTTAAACCTTAACCCCAACACCCTTAACCCTTTTTGAAGCAAAGCAACTCCCATGTCCCAGCCTCCCTGGACTGATCCTTCGAGGAGACGAACTCTAATCGCTGGTGCTCACCTTGAGACTTAGGGCTTTTAGGGTTTAGGGTTTAGGGATCAGGGGGTGGGCTTTAGGGATTAGGGTTGAGGGTTTAGGGATTAGGTCTTAGGGGTTGGGTTTCAGGGATTAGGGTTGGGGGTTTAGGGACTAGGGTTTAGGGGCTGGGCTATAGGGATTAGGGTTTAGGGGTTGGGCTTTAGGGATTAGGGTTTAGGGATTGGGGTTAGAGATTGGGATTAAGGGCTTCAGTTGAGGGTTTTCGGTTTAGGGGCTGGGGCGAAAGGGTTTAGTGATTGCGGTTTAGGGATTAGGGTTCAAGGGTTTTGGGTTGACTTAGGGATCCCATTCATGGCATCATCCTTCCTCCACTCTCCTCTTCCTTGGTCTCTGTATATATATATACATATGTACATATATATACATATGTATATATATATATATGTCAACAACTCGTCCTCTGCCTCCTCCTCTTCCTCTACTCCTTTGGTCTTTATTCACGTTTTCGTTGATATCGGTACCCTGCGCGAACGTGGCAGTTCAAGGATGGCCGTCATGACAAATATAGTTCTGCTCAGGTTTGCAAAACCACACCATCGAGCGATCGGAAAACATAGCCTGGCTGGTTCTAGTTCGTGTGGGCAGGGAAGGGTTGGATGGGTTAGGGGTGTTGGGATTAAGACATTTTCATTCTGCTTATGGAGGGAATACTTTAAAAACGGCGGCCGAGTGCCCTGTAGAAGCCTGGCTATTACCAAGATTATCCTGATATTGCTTATCTACACATATAACCCGTATCCAAATCTCCAATTCCTATTCCATTTGATGCACCATTATTCCAGTCACTGAGGCCCCACAACCCCAAGTCCTAGAACCTGAACCCTGCTTGTGGCTTAGGTTTTACGGGCATTCTAAACACTGAAATCCTCACATCTACCCCCTATTCTACCCATGCGGCCACACAAGACCCTAAACACTGAACCCTAAACCCTAAACCCTAAACCCAAAGCCCTAAACCCTAAAGAGCCTGCCCTCACAAGGGACACGATGCAAGGCGCGGACACTTCAGCTCCCCGAGGGGTGCGAAGTCGACTTGCACCATTGAATGCTGGGCACCTGACGGGTTTAGGGTTTACGGCTTTAGGTTGGGGAAGGGGTTATGCACAGATTACAGGTCATATAGGGTTTATGTAGGGGCAGTATAGGGATGTATACAAGGTTTTGGGATAATGATAAGACCTCGATGATGGAAACTCATGGAAAATGAAATGGAAACAGGGCCGTATTCAAGGTTTGAGGGTCCTGGTAGAGGATTTAGGGACCCTCCCCCAAAATGGCACGGAAGCCTAAAAAGGGCACGGTAAAGATCACATTGTCCTGTGAGAAGGGGATCGAATATGGCTTTGGGCATTTTATGATAAGATCCCCATATACCCCATGTTCTATCCGTAAACCCTACACCGTATAAACTCTACACCCTAAGCCCCGTAAACCCCAAACCCTAAACAACATAAACTCTATACACTAAGCCCCATAAATCCTAAACCCTAAACCCCATATTTCATCTACCTAAGGGGGACCATAAGGCCTAAACCCTAAACAGTATTTTCCATTTTCTTTTCCATTATCCTTATATAACCCCTTAAGGGGGACTATAAACCCTCCCTAAACCGCTTTTGGAAGGCACTTGCAAAGAAGTCTGAGGTGCTAGCACATTTCACCGAACCGGTGGAGCACCTTGGAAGGGATGGCTAAGGCTTTAGGGTTTACATAGGGTTTTAGGGGTTAGGCTTTAAGGTTTTAGGGTTTTAGGGTCTTAGGCTTTAGGGCTTTAGGGTTTTTGGGTCTTTCAGTTTAGGGCTTTATGGTCTTAGGGTTTAGGGCTTTAGGGTTTAGAGATGAAGCAGGGTGGGAGTCCCGAATTTTGGTATGTAATCGGCACTTACACATTTCTGGTTTCCGGCAGCAAGGGCTCTCACAAAAAACAGTTCCACATAGATATACAGGCCCGAACCCTGAACTGAACACCACTCATGCTGTGCCCTGAATTTCTAACCCTTCAACCCTAAACTCTTATGACCTCCTGGACTCCGATACCAACCCAAACCCTGAACCTTCAACTTCCCAAACCTAAGCCCTAAACTCCCTAAACCTCAAACTCCTAAACCCTAAAGGCCAACACATACAAAATCCGTACTGCAACCAGGCTGCCGCGTTGATAACGTTCGGTATGATGGCTTTGTCGGCAACATGCACCGCAGCCGCAATCTCTCCATACCTGACTCTTCTTCATGTTTTGTGGTCTCAGGATAGTTTAGGGTCTAAGGCTTTAGGGTTCTATGGCTTTAGGGTTTGAAGTTAGGGGATGAAGGAATGGACAGGAAAATGGTTACCACTGTTTAGTGCTTGGGGTAGGCAATGGGAAATAGAATAAAAAACGCATGGAAGATGATATGGACACTGGGACGCCCATAGGCGTACGAGAACGCGCAATAATTGCGCAAAAACCAAGGGGCGGTAATAACGCAAAAGCTGCAGGCGGTAACTGTGCAAAAACCAGGGGGCAGTAATTGCGCAAAAACCCGGGGGCGGTAATTGCGTAAAAACCAAGGGGCCGTAATGATGCAAAAGCTGCAGACGGTAGCTGCGCACACGTTGGGGCAGCAGTCATGGAAAACGAGCATAACCCATGAAATAATGTGTGCCAATACTCGCATACGTTGGGGTAACATGATAAATGTGTTTACACTTCTTATTGGGTTTTAATATGCTGAAATACTCAAGTTGACGCAGCTTAAAGGGGTTAATGCCTCTGGGTTAAAGTCGCATATGGCGAGTGACGCAATCAAGACAACATTCTATGCTTGGAGAATACTAGTCTGACTGCTGTTTGCGCACAGAGTACCCCCAAGCTTGCGCTATTACTGCCATCTTTTCCGCTGTAACTACTTTGTTTCCGCAATTACTGAACATGCTGCATAGGGATACATGGGGCTTAGTGCTATTCCCTACCCTAAGCCTTAAGCCCCAAATGGTGCTTTACCTGATCTTCTCCATTCTTTATTACCAACCAATAAAAACTCTCAGGGATGCGGGCTACTATGGACCTTTCTGCCCTTTTTCAGGTATGCGGGTTCCTGAAAATGAGCAGCATTACCGATACTGGGTAGTGCAATGCTGGAAGCACTCCTTGTAAACGTAGATAAACATACTGGAATGAGGCGAGCCTCGTAACCGAAACAGTTGCAATCCCAGTATTTAATTACAGGACGGCGCTATCATCCTAAAGTACAACTACGCCTCTCAACCCCAAACACGTTGAAACTACCCCTTAGACCCTACACGCTAAGCCATGAACCCTAGGCCGTGTGCCTGAAACACCAGTTACCGACAGCTGAGTAGTAGTGACCCCGTGATTGAAAACTATAAACGATGATATTTGAGGCATTTGGGGTTGGCCAAGAACCTCTATGTACATATATATCTTCATGTTCCGCTTCATTTTCCGCATTCTTGTCCATTCTCCATATTGGAGTATAATATTCCTAAGCCCTGTATAATCCCGATAGACCCGCCATCTAACCTTGTGTGACTCCCCTTTTGTGGCAAACATCTGCAGCTGCAACCCGAGGATGTTCGAAGCCCGTAAACCCTAAACACCTAAGCCCTATAATCCTTATAAACCCTCAGCCCCTAAACCTCTAAACCCTAAACCCCTTAACCCCTGAACCGTGAACCCTCAGCCAGGCTGCGCAGCTTTCGTGCTGGGGCCAGGTTGCCCCTGGTCGCCCGGCTTCATTGAAATTCCGTACCTGGTCCAAAAGCGTTGGTTTTTTTTCAATGATAGGCACAGGTTTAGGGTTTGAGGTTCAGGTTTTAGGGTTTACGGCTTAGGGTTCAGCATCTGCACCTAGTCCAAAAGCCCAGGTAGACATATACTATAACGATAGGGTCTAGGGTCTAGGGTTTAGGAGTTGAGGCTTAGGAGCTAGGGCGTAGGGCTTATAACACGATTATAACTTTGGTGTTTTCTACCTGGTCTGAAAAACAGTCAGCACCCATCTAGGGTTTTCAAAGATAGAATGAAGGGTGGTTTAAGGTTGAGATACCGGGTTCGAAACCATAAGCACGAATGTAGGAGACATTATTCCTCATGCTTCAGGCACCGCTCTGTTCCCAGAACCTAAGAACGCTTTCATGGGGCTTGACATGGGGCACAGTAGGGTCTAGGGCTTCGAGTTTTGGGATAATACACTCGTGCTAAAGCCCCTCATCAAAGTCATTCACACTTCTCGCCAACATCCTTGGAGGGCTTCGTTGCAGCTTCTGAGAGCTTGAATGTGGAAATTTCTCATGTGCCATCTAGAGATGATAAAGGGGCCTCATGGCTGCAATGCCATATCCCTTGTGTGAGAAACCTTCATGTCACCGGTACAGGTGGGCTGTGAAATCAAAGTCCCAGCGGCTGCAGAAGGAAGAGCTCCGAAATGGCCAGCTGTGGTTCCAGCTGCTTGGAAGCAGATCGGTTGAAAAGCACACCTTGCAGGTTTTTTTGAGGGCCGCGAAGGAGGATTATGGTGCTGAAGGATGAATGCAGGAAGGGGACAACAGGAAGAAGAAGAAGAAGCAGGAGGCAGGACAAAAAGGGGGACAGAATCGGTAGTTGTCGCGGCGGTTGAAATTGCAGCTACACTTGCAATGGCAGGACTAGCACGTGTGACGATCACCTACAATCCCTACAAAACCTCCTTCTGGCATACCCTGGCTCTGGTGAACAGGCAGGCAAAAGAATCGCCCAAAACCCACAGAAAGAGAGCTAAACGATGCGCTTGTTCTACATACCTTTGGGGTTCATGAATAGCACAAATGCCCTTATGACCCTCAGACAATCACAGCCCTCTTCTAATTGTTTAGGCCCACATGTCACACCTGCATACTTACACGTTCCATGTCATTTCCTTGAATTTTCCTTTTGATTCTCCTTCACTACCCTACTCCCTGAACTTCATATGACCCTAGATATCCCTAGATAACCCTACGAGTACATAATCCTATATAGGCCCATGTAACCCCCAACACCCCAAGAAGGGTAGCCGCCAAAACAAATGCCACCCGAGAGGCCCAGAGGCATCAGAGACATCGACTTGCCCACTTTGAGGCCTGGGAAGGTGGCAATGCTGGAGGTACAGGTTGTAGTCGTAGTAGTGTTATTCGTAATGGTCGGTCGTCATAGCAGTAATAATCGTAGAACAAGTAGGAGGAGATGTTGGGTGGCAAGGTTGGAAGATTTGGATAGTTGGGGCCCGAGGTCTGAGATTGCGGCGGGGCTCCAGGTTTTAGGTCTGTGGCTTTTTGGAAACGCCCCCAGGAAACGGAAAGGCCTGATGTTGAACATTAAGCCACTCTATGAAGTAACTTTGCAAAACGCGCGACCTTAGTTAGGCGAATGTATCGTACTGACATTGTATTTCGAGTTTGGCTATAGGGTTGTTGGTAGGCCATCAGGATTGGATGTCACCTTTGAGGTTGGATTTAGGTTTGCCTACGGGGCGGCGCTTGGTTTTGATGGGCCATGAGGATCTTATGCGCATGCTTTGAGACGACCGTGCCAAGACCCCATTCATCAGCCAGCATTTTACCGAAACTGCATGAGTAGCTTGCCGCAGCAAATTCTGAATCTGTCTGCGGATGCCTGGTGCAAGATCATAATTAGAACCTTGCCGGTCACGGAGGTCAACGAAGAAGTCGAGCTGCCATGAATATTTCAATATGCTTGCGTTGCGCTTAGGCAGACACCAGGACGGAAAAAGTGCCATTGAGGCCACTGAGGTACCCCTGTCACCGGCCAAGCCGTGTTCAACAAGCACAGGCATCGGAATCAGGAAGGCTCCATGTAGTTGGTCTTCACACATAATGCCAACCACCAGGATGTCAAAATCATCTTCTGCGTAACTGCATCTTCCAAACACGCCTCCCGATTTGAAGAGATACGCGCGTGGGTACCTTGTCGTGCTCGATATCTTTTCCTGTACACGCAATATTGACAAAGACCCATCAAAATCGGACACATACTCCAAAAGAGAATCTACCGTAGTTTGGTGCACCGTCGGGTGTGTAAGACGCATGCCCATCGTGCCGAACAAGGCTTGGAGCTGCGCGTGCCCTTTTGCCTCAATTTTGTGCTTATAACACGCACACTGCAAGCTCGCATCCTCCAGAGATGTATGTGGAAACTGCTGCCTGTCTACAAAACATGTCAGCAAGAATGAGCCCACGTCACGCACTTGAAGGCGTTCTGCACTTGGACATCCGACGGTGATCCACAGCTTGTCTTTCGAAAGGACGTGCCCTGCAGTGGCCCCGAGGTAACCTCCATCTAAGCTCACAAGGAAGACGACCATGCCTGCATACCCCAGCATGTTGCTGAACATGTGAGAACGGCCGTGGATGCCCCGGCCAGAAGCTGCTTTGAGCTGTATCAGGAGACAGTCTTCAGGACTGCCCTTGCGCATGAAGACGGCATCCGCTTTAGAGGAACCGGACAAGCGCCGTATTTCATGTTCTGATGCCCGGAAAGATTCTGCAAAGGCAGCATCCAGAATCTTGAACGCTTGAGCTTCTTTCTGGTGGTTGTTGCCGTTCAGTTTGAGGCCGCGGTCGCGCGCTTGCTCACGTGTTTCTTGGTAAGCAGCCTCTTCCGCAGATGGGAAGTTCAAGGACTTTTTCAGCCGCAGCTTGTCCGCCGCACAATTGTGTCTCAAGAAGTGATCGAAGGCCTCTGCCGCCTTTGCGGCAGACTTAAAGGTGCCAAGGTAGTGGTTGTGTCCTTGCAGCGTAGCCTGCGCAACAAAGGATTGCCGGTTCACGCTGCAATAAACGCCACGATACTGAGCTGCCTTGATAGGCCCAGAATCAGCCACATGCGTTGTGTAGTCAGCTGCTTCGCATGAGCTACCACACAGCCGCCGCTGACAGGACACTGAGTGTCTTGCCCAAATCTGGCGGCATGCTTGGTGAGGTGCTACGCGCATGTGATGTCGTCAGATTCTGTAGCCTGTGCTATGGGCATGCCCTGCTGACCTTCTGCTACTTTGCTCGGCTGTAACAGGAAAGCCTAGCACAAACTTTGAGTTTTCACAATCGTACTTGTAGGACATGTAGGGGCTCCATCCATGGCATGCGCAGTACCCAATGCAACCACGACAGGATTCTCCGTCCAAACGCGGAAAGATCCGTTTTGACAATCCCAAGGCCCCATGCAAAGGCATGCACAGAAAAAATGAAGCGCTTGCGCAGTGTGGGCCTGCATGAAAGTTTCCCTGAGCGACCCTTCCATCCTGGGAACTCATATGCAACGAGAAGCCCAAACAAGACCTCTACTATACTAGTTCACGGCAATTCCCGCATGCGTCTGGATGTAGTGGTATTCCATCGTTTTATTTGCGCGGTACTAGATGCTGTCCAAAATACCTGTTCTAAATTCTAACTTCACTTACATGTCGGCTCCAACCAACCCTTCATAAACCTAATCTTCATCCCTCAACTTTACACCCTCAAGTCCAATTTTTCTTGAGACACCCTCCAACCCGCCAGTCAAGAGGTTTTGTGCGCGTGGGGTGGTGAGTGTTCGTAAACATTGCAGGATGCAGCGACATGTTTTCACGAGGCGCAATGCACACCCTAGCAGAACCATCACACGTGGTATAGCAGTTGCGCAGGTTTCGACTATCTTGTAGATTCTCATGAAAGGAGACCATGGAGATCAAAGTTTCTCCAAGGCGCTGTGAGACATCTGCGCTGCCAGGGCTGACCATATGTTGACGATCAGTTCCTCAGGACATACCCTTTACGTAAAGGGAAAGACAGGTTGAGGCTGAGGGTAGCCTTCCAGTTTAGGGCACGCCGAGGACTGCATCGACGAAACATACAAACGGTCTTATCTGGATTGTTAGTTATTCTACCCTTCATTATTTGATAACATATGTCTACCCATGAGTCTTTTGTCCAACCTTTTCTTTAGGTTTCATATGTTTGCCCAAAGCATGCACTGTAAATACTATTAGCATAACCCCAAGTACCCAGCTATTGTGTACGTGGACCCTCTGGGAATCCGCTCATGCTGCCGAATAGCGATGGCATCCTCCTCATTTTCCGGAGGAATGATCGACCGAACTGACTTGATGCAGTCTCCTGGCAGGGTCTTTCTGTGCTTCTTCGCTAGAAGAAGCAATGCAGTTTCCTGACAGGGCATTTCAGTGCTCCATCTCTATAAGAAATGCAAAGCCTCAATGGCACCCAACGCGTTCGATCTTCCTTGGGTTGAGTGTCTAGGGCTCAGAGTGTTAGACTGTCTTACGGTGACGCTGAGAAGGAATGCATAAGAATAAAGTGACTCAAGTGACTCAGCCCAAAGGGGTTGCAAGGTTTCAGCTGAATAGGGCTTGACTTTTACCGGGTTTGGTTTAGGGTGTAGGGCATTGCCCGAAACATCTCAGCCCCCACTGCACCTGTGTGATCCTATCTGGGATTTAAGAACCTCTGGAGGTTTGACGCTTCTTTGGCAACGCCTGGGCATAAACAATGCACCTTCCCTCCCCGAATATTCACACTGGTCCAGGTTCCTGGATCCCCTAAATTTCAGGAATGCCCTCAAAATGGGGTATAGTCTAAACTCCAAGTATCCCCGTTAGTAACCCCAATACTCCTCCATGAAATTCCCTATATAACCCCCTTTTGGAATTTAGACTGTAGCTCATGTCTAAACCCTTAATAGAATTTTCCATTTTCTTTTCCATTATTCCCTGTATTATCTATATATATATATACATACTATGGTAGTTTCCATTTGCTTTTCCTTTATTCCCTATATTATCTTTATATATATATATGTATATACTATAGTAGTTTCCATTTTCTTTTCCATTATTCCCTATATCGTCTACATATATATATATATATACTATGGTAGTTTCAAT